CTTTTCCTTTATAAAAAGTCTGTCAACTTCAATGTGCTATGTACGGTCATGTTGCATTGGATTATGTGCAATATTAATGATTGATTTGTTGTCACAATAGAGCCTCATAGGTCTCTTCCATTCATTCTTCAGATCTTCAGGATTATCTTTAGCTATAATAGCTCACATATCCCAAGTGCCATTGATTTAAATCCAGCTTCTGCACTAGATCTAGCAACAACTTTTTGTTTTCTTACTTCTCCAAGTCACAAGGTTTCCTCCAAGTAGGGTACCATATCCCGACGTTGACCTTCTATCAACCATAGATCTTGCATAATCTGTGTCTGTGTAGGTTTCAAGAGTTAGTCCTCATCCTTTCTTAAATAAGACCCTTTTTCTCGGTGTACCTCTTAAATATTGTAGAATTCAATATGCAACCTTGAGATGTAACTCCTTATGATTGTGCATAAATTGGCTTACAACACTCACTGCATAAGCTATATCGGGTCTGGTATGTGACAGGTAAATCAATCTTCCCATGTGCCTTTGATAGGAGCTTTTATCCACTACTTCAACTCTTGGATCATCATTATGTCTGTGATTGTACTCTATGGGTGTTTCTGTTGGCTTGTACCCTAGCTTGCCCGTTTCTTTTAGTAAATCTATCACATATTTTTGTTGTGATATAAAGATCCCTTGCTGAGAATAAGCTACTTCAATGCTGAGGAAATACTTTAGCTTGCCTAGTTCTTTAATCTCAAACTCCTTCATCAACTCGTTCTTCAAGCTCTCCATTCCTTTTAAATAATTTCCTATCACTATAATATCATTTACATAGACTAGCAAAACAGTCACTCTGCCTAATGTTGAGTGTTTTACTAACAAAGTATGATCACTTTGGCTTTGCTTGTATCCCATGCTAAGCATCACGTTGGCAAATCTTCCAAACCAAGCTCTTGGAGATTGCTTTCATCCTTATAAATCTTTCTTCAATTTGCACACCTTATTCTCTTCTTTACTGAAGTTAAATCCTGGTGGAATCTCCATATAAATTTCTTCCTCAAGTTCACCATGTAAAAAAACATTATTTACATCGAACTATTGCAGTTTCCATCCAAAATTAGTAGCCAATGACAACAATATTCTCACTGTATTTCATCTTAGCAATTGGAGCAAATGTCTTAAGATAGTCTATACCATAAGTCTGAGGATAACTTTTGGCAACTAATCTTGCTTTATACCTTTCTAGAGAGCCATTTGACCTGTATTTAACAGCAAAAACCCATCTACATCCAACAAGCTTCTTTCCTTTAGGTAGTTCTACCAAGTCCCATGTTTTGTTCTTTTCAAGAGCTTCCATGTCAACCTTCATGACATTCTTCCTGTTATCATTCCTTAGTGCCTCTGATAAAGTTTTGGAAATAGACATCATGTTTAAGCTAATAAGAAAAGATTTGTGGTTATGAGATAAATTCCTATATGACATGAACGAGCGCAGAGGATGTTGGGTACAAGCTCTAGTTCCTTTTTTGATGGCTATAGGAATATCATAATCATTTTGTTCAATAACCTCCGTGATTTTATTACTAGGAGAGATTTGATTAGCGATTACCTCAATAGGATGATATTCAGTTGACTGTACTTGCGTAGATTGAGTGATTGGTGCCTTCTTCCTTGAATAAGTCAACAATGGACAAGTGGAGCCTTGAGCTTGCTTCTCATTCACCATCTCTTGTGACCTGGGCATTTAAGGTTCTATTTCTGGTTGAGTGATTGGCAGAGTGTTTGGATGAGTGACTGAAACTATTTTTGGCTGAGTGCTTGAAGAATTTAGATTGGTTTCAATTGGAAACTCAAGAAGAAATAAGTCTCCGTCCTTATCTTTTTTAAATAAGTCTCCCTCAGAAGATAAGGACCAAGAAAAAGTTTTTTTTTTGTTTCGACGAATGTAACATTTGTAGATACATAGATTTTTTTTGTTGGAGGATGATAACACCTGTAACCCTTTTGAGTAGATGAATACCCAGTAAATACACATTTAAAAGCTCGTGGCGGTGGATCAAGTTTTCCCCTATTTTGTGCATGCACATGAACATAGGTCATACAATCGAATACTTTTGAAACAATATTACTAGAGGTATTGAAATCAGGAAAGAATTTCCATTGGACTTTTTAAATCAAGAACCTTTGTTGGCAACCTATTGATAAGATGAGCTGTGGTTAAAACAGCTTCCTCCCAATATTGTTTGGAACATTTTTTTGAAATAGTAAGACGCTAGTCATAGCTAGGAGATGACCATTATTTTGTTCAACCACTCTATTTTGTTGGGGTGTATTCACACGAGGATTCATTTATTATGCCCTGTTTTTGGAAATAAGGACATAGGAATTGATTGAAATAGTCTTTAGCATTGTTAGATCGAAATCTTTTAATTTCAACACCAAATTGAGTTTTGATCATAAAAAGTTGGAAACATTGAGCTCACACCTGATTTATTTTTCAGAAGAAAGATAAAAAACACACGTATACAATCATCATTAAATGAAGCAAACCACCGAGCCCCATAAATGTTAGCAACAGTAGAAGGCCCCTATATATCACTATGAATGAGTGTAAATAGAACAGATGTTCTTTAATTGCTAATTGGAAAAGAAACACGTTTGTGCTTTGCTAGTTCACACACATCACAATGAAAACTTTCAACAAATAATCCTTTAAACAATAAAGGGAACATATGTTTAAGAGTACTAAATGACGAGTGACCAAGACGAAGATGATGAAGCCAAATTTTGTCTTTATTAGATTTGAATGACTCGGAAGGAAATGATAAAGGTGAAGAACTCGTAGTTCTAGCTTGTCCATTTGATTCATCAAGATAATAGAGACCATCCCTCTCTCTAGCATGTCCAATCATCCTCCTTGTTTCCTGTTTCTGGAACAGACAATGATCAGAATAACAAATCACACAACAGTTAGAATCTTTGGTGAGTTTCTGGATGGACGCTAGATTGATGTATAATTTTGGAACATGAACATTCCTAGGGGTAAGAGAGTTATTAAAAAAAATATCTCCCTGACCAGCTACTGTTGTTACGGAACCTTCTGCTATGGTTATTATTTTATGAATAGGACACGGGATATATGAGATGAATTTTTGTGAAAAGCAAGTCATATGATGTGTAGCACCTGAGTCAATGACCTAAGTATTGGAAAAGACTTTATTCGAGATATTAACAGCATGAGAAGTGGAAGATACACATGAGAATGCCAAAGAGCAGGTGCATGTGGTAGGTGGTTTTTCTAATGCCCTTAATAGATTTTTTAACTTCTTAATTTCTTCATGAATGAATTCTGTAGATGGACTCTCAGTTTCCCGTGTTTTTGCCATATACACCTGCTTTTGTCCACCACGATCAGACTAATTCTGAGTTGGATTTTGAGGCTTGCCATGAAGCTTCCAGCATTTGTCCCTTTTATGGCCTAGATTCTTGCAATAATTACACCATAGAGCCTCTTTGTTTGATGATCGCGTAAAATCTCCATGTTTACCGTTTTCGCCTGTGTATTGTTTCATAATAGAATTCTTCATGTTTGTGTTTTTTGATACCAAAGCTGAACTATCCACTCTAGGTGTATCAACCATAAATCCTCTTATTCCTTCTTCAGCAAGGACTAATGCTATAGCCTCATTTAATGATGTCAAGTCTTCTTTTCCAAGCATTTGCACTCTTACTACATCAAACACAATATTTAATCTCGCAAGAAAATCATAAATTCTGTCTTTTTCAACAAACCTCTTAAGAACAACCGCATCTTCACTGCACTTCATCTGGATGCATTGATAGTGATCCATCTCCTGCCATAAACCTTTTAAAATGTTTGAATATTCGGTAATTGATCGATCTCCCTGCTTGGTGGCAGTAACTTTGGTTTTGATTTGTTAAGATTTGAGGTTCTATCTTAAAATGTCAATCTTATTAAGAGGAGTAGCTCAAACCTTATAAATTGGTTTATGTTTTCATCTTTATTCAATGTGAGATTCCATCCCTTAACATGCTCTCGCAAGATAGTGGCTCGTTTGAGCAGACCAATCTTAAAATTCGTGTGCTCAAATTTTTGAGTTTTAATCAAATCGAATTGCTCATTGGAGTTTAATGGGCTCTGATATAATTTTAAGATTTGCGATTTTATCTTAGAAGGTAAACCTTATTAAGAGGAGTAGCCCAAACTTTTATAAATTTGTCCATGTTTTCATCTTTATTCGATGTGAGATTCTATCCCTAACATGATTGCATAGATTTGTGCAGCGTCATGCACCTTGGAGCATGTATGTCTCACAACCTCCCATATATCTTTAGCCGTGTCCAAAAACATGCATGTGTCATTAGTTTTTGGTACCATAGAGTTCCACAATCGGGACATCACCATTGAGTCCTGTTCATCCCAAGCATCGAAGTTTGGATCCCCTTTTTTAGGTCCAGTACCAAGTAGATGACTTAGTTTGCCTCTTTCCTTCAAAGAGGTACGAACTAGTTGTGACTTCAGATAATTCTTCCCATTCAGCTACACGGACGACGAACTTACAAAACGTAGTCTCCTGTTGATAAAGGATTATTGCTTTCAAGTACTATAGTTTCCGAAGGATTGCTATTTGCTAAAGTATCTGACAGACCCGCAGTCCAGATTACATATCAAAGGCACAACAAAGGGGCAAGGGCAAAAGAGGGAATGCAGGAGGAAAAGCAGCCACATGCATAGTAACAGAATCTGTTAAAGGAACGTTCGAGAAGCACAACAACATATAAATAGGGGAGAATGGATTTCAGCTAGGCATGCAGAATTTGGTAGTCACTTAGGAGAGAATTGGCTCTCTCGAAAAGCCAAATATCTTTTATTGTTTTCTATACTGTTTTTATTTCAATTTACAGAATCTGTTCTCATTCCGTCAGGTTATTTCCCTTTGGAATTCAGAATTATCACAAGAGTCCTATCAACTGGTATCAGAGCAGATCCAATCCTGATGGTGAGTCTAGCAGAACGGGTGGGGAGCTTGGAAGGGAGCCATAAGCAATTACGAAAACAAATGGAAGAAATGCAGGTTGAGTTAAAAAAGGACATAGAGAAAAGAGTGGCAAACATTTCAGGGCAACTCGCCTTCATGAGATCAAGGTGGGAGGAAGATGGAAGAGGAAAAAAGGGCAATGGGCAGGAAGGAACGAAGGAGTCAGGGTATACTCTGCACTCTGAAGTTTCACTTGGGGTAGAGACGAGCAGTAGGGAAGTTGGAGGTGCTGCGGGTGGAAATTGGAGAATCGAAATCAAAGGGAGGAGGTTAGAGATGCCGGTGTTCACGGGAAAAAGTCCGGACGAATGGATCTTTAGGGCGGAACGCTATTTCATGGTGAATCAGTTAACAGAGGCGGAGAAATTGGAGACGACAGCTCTGTGTTTCGAAGAAGGTGCTCTCGCCTGGTATCAATGGGAGCAGAAGCGAAAAGGTGTGAGAAATTGGGATGAGCTCAAAGCACTGATGCGAGCTCGATTCCGATCCTCGTTGGAGGGAACAGTGGAAGAGAGGTTTTTGGCACTCCGGCAGGAAGATTCAGTAATGGCGTCTGGAATCACATTTGAGACCTTGGCCGCACCGATTGGAGATATTTTTGATACTCTCCTGGAAGGGCATTTCATAAATGGGTTGAGGCCAGAGATTAGGGCCGAAATTAGAGTGATACAGCCCAAAGGATTGGCCCATATCATGGAGTTGGCCCAAAGAATTGAAGAAAAGAATTAGGCCCTGCAGGCCCAAATGCCTGGATTTAGCCCAACAAAAGGTAGCTTCAATTTCAGCCCCAAAGTGGGTTCTCCTTCCACACGACAAATTGTTTCCCAGAACCCCAGCCCTAGATCTTCGACTCTCCGAAGTTCTACTCAGCCCGACGCATTCAACCCCTTCTTTAAGAAGCTAAGTGAAGCCGAATGGAAGGCCAAGAAGGAAAAGGGACTGTGTTTTCGCTGTGATGGCAAATACTCCATTGGGCATCAGTGTAAGAACAAGGAATTACAGGTGATGTTAATTTATGATGAAGAACGGCAAAAGGAGTGGGACGTTGAAGAATCGGCGGAGGAAACGGCTGAAGGAGGAAAGTCAGTCGCCGGCGAGGTAGTGGAATTATCGATGAATTCGGTGGTAGGGCTCACTCGACCGCAAACCATGAAGGTAAAAGGGAAAATTTCAGGGGAAGAGGTAGTGGTGTTAATCGATTGTGGTGCTAGCCATAACTTTGTGTCAGCAGATTTAGTGCAAAAATTGGGGCTGCCGAGAACAGAAACACTAGGATATGGGGTGATTCTGGGTACTGGCTTGGCGGTGCAAGGAGCGGGGGTGTGTAAGGGAGTGCGATTATTCCTGCAAAACATAGAGGTGGTAGAGGATTTCCTTCCGCTGGATTTAGGGAGTTCTGATGTGATTTTGGGAATGAAGTGGCTCACGACTCTGGGCCAAACGAAAGTTGATTGGAAAGCACTCACGATGAAGTTTCAGATTGGAGGAACCACAATGACCTTGCAAGGGGACCCGAGCCTTAGCAAAACCTTGGTCACAATGAAAACTATGATGAAGGCGTTCAAGGAAGGGGAAGAAGGGGTACTTCTTGAACTGGGCAGCCTAGGGGTCGAGTTAGGAGAATTGCAGTGGGAAATGCCGGCAGAAATGAAGCGAGTTTTAGGTGAGTTTGAAAGGGTTTTTGAAGAACCAAAGGGGTTACCGCCACAGCGGGACAGGGATCACACTATAACTCTCCAGCCGGGAGCTGCACCTGTCAGTGTGAGACCTTTCCGTTACCCTCATGTGCAAAAAAACGAGATAGAAAAGCTTGTCCGAGAGATGTTTGCAACGGGAATAATCAGACCTAGCACCAGTCCTTTCTCTAGCCCAGTCCTATTAGTGAGAAAAAAAGATGGCGGGTGGCGATTCTGTGTAGATTATAGAGCAGTGAACAAAGTGACAGTGCCGGATAAGTTCCCTATCCCTATGATTGACGAGTTATTGGATGAGCTACACGGAGCAACGACTTTTTCAAAACTGGACTTGAAAGCAGGATACCATCAAATTCGGGTCAAACCTGATGATATTCCAAAGATAGCTTTCAGGACACATGAAGGCCACTATGAGTTCCTCGTAATGCCGTTTGGACTCACTAACGCTCCTTCTACGTTTTAGTCACTTATGAATGAAGTGTTTAAGGAGAAGCTAAGGCGGTTTGTTTTGGTATTCTTTGATGACATCCTAGTATTCAGCCGCAGTGTAGAAGAACATGTGGAGCACCTGAGGAGTGTATTACAGGTGCTATCCCAACATCAGTTGTATGCCAACAAGAAATGTAGTTTTGGGCAGCCAGAGATGGAGTATTTGGGGCACATTATTTCACGTTTCGAGGTGGCTGCAGACAAGTCGAAGATTCGGGCTATGGTAGATTGGCCGAGCCCTAAGTCATTGCGGGAGCTGCGGGGATTTCTGGGGCTCACCGGATACTACCGCCGTTTTGTTAAGGATTATGGTAGATAGCATGGCCGCTAACAGAACGATTGCGGAAGGACAATTTTTTCTGGGATGATGAAGCAGAACATGCATTCAACAGACTGAAGGTAGCAATGACTACTATTCCGATTCTCGCCCTTCCCGATTTTAGTAGACCATTTATAGTAGAGACGAATGCGTCGGGGATTTAGGCTGGGTGCGGTGCTGATGCAGGCCCAGCATCCCATTGCACTCTTCAGCCATGCCCTCAATCCAAACGGGCGGGTCAAATCAACATATGCGAGGGAGTTGATGGCTATCGTTTTTGCGGTTCAAAAGTGGAGACACTACTTACTGGGCCAAAAATTCTATATCCGCACAGATCAAAAAAGCTTGAAATTCTTAATGGAACAGCGGGAGGTGAATCCAGAGTATCAGAAATGGTTGATCAAATTAATGGGTTATCAATTTGAAATAGAGTACCGACCGGGAACCGAAAATAAAGCGGCCGATGCATTGTCTCGGGTCAGTTCCTCAGCTGAATTAATGGCATTGTCAGCTCCTACAGTGTTAAAACTAGATACCTTAGCGGAAGAGGTTAGAGCAGACCTGCACTTACAAGGTATCATCCGGGATATCAACCAGGACCCCTCCAGCAGGCCAGATTATGTATTGGTGAATGGTCAGTTGCTGTTTAAAGGGAGATTGTTACTACCAAAAGGGTCCGAATTAATTCCGTTGATGTTGCAAGAAGGACATGATAGCAAGATAGGAGGACATTCTGGGTTTTTGAAAACTTACAAGCGAATCGCTGCAAATGTCTATTGGGAGGGGATGAAGAAAGATATACACAGATACGTTAGTCAGTGCAACGTCTGTCAACAAAACAAGTATATTGCCCTATCACCGGGTGGCCTTTTGCAGCCACTCACTATTCCAAACCAAGTTTGGGAGGAGATTGCCATGGACTTCATCGAGGGTCTACCAAAGTCAGGGGCCATGGATACAGTTCTGGTGGTGGTAGATCGATTGAGTAAGTATGGACACTTCATTGGACTCAAACATCCATTTACAGCAGCAAGTGTAGCAGGAATCTTCGTTAAGGAAGTGGTGCGGCTTCATGGGATACCCCATTCCATCGTCTCGGATAGGGACAAGGTTTTTATGAGTCATTTTTGGGAGGAGTTATTCCGTTTGCAAGGTACTAAACTCAACCGGAGTACAGCTTACCATCCCCAATTTGACGGTCAATCCAAGGTATTAAATCGCACTTTAGAAACCTACCTTCGTTGTTTTGCTTCATCCCGACCCAAGTCTTGGTACAGTTGGTTACCATGGGCAGAGTTGTGGTACAACACGTCTTATCATACAGCAACCAAGACTACTCCATTCCAGATTGTGTATGGGCGAGATCCTCCTTCCTTGCTGAGGTTTGAAAGGGAATCCACTCCTGTCTCAGCTGTAGAGTAGCAGTTACTGGAACGGGATCGAATCCTGGATGAATTGAAGGCTCAGTTGCTCTGGGCCCAGGCTAAAAAATGAAGAGCATAGCAGATTCCAAACGAAGGGATGTCCAGTTCCAGGTTGGTGATCTGGTATATTTGAAGATTAGACCGTATCACAGGAAAACATTAGCAGCACGTCATAATGAAAAGTTGGCTCCAAGATTTTATGGTCCATTTGCAGTTGAGAAGAAGATTGGACAAGTTGCATATAAGTTGTCCCTACCCCCGACATGTACCATTCATCCAGTTTTCCATGTATCACAGTTGCGCAAGGCAGAGGGGGCAGTGCAAGCTGTGGATGAAGTGCCTGACCAACTAAATGAGGAGTTGGAGATGGTGTTGGAACCAGAAGCAGTGCTTGGGGTGAGACCTGGGACAGGCCACAACATCAGGGGCGTTGATGTCTTAATTCAATGGAAGGGATTGCCACCACTGGAAGCGACTTGGGGGACATATGACCTGTCGAGACAGCAATTTCCCTCCTTTCACCTTGAGGACAAGGTGAGTCTCGTTGGGGGAAGTAATGATAGACCCGCAGTCCAGATTACATATCAAAGGCGCAACAAAGGGGCAAGGGCAAAAGAGGGAATGCAGGAGGAAAAGCAGCCACATGCATAGTAACAGAATCTGTTAAAAGGAACGTTCGAGAAGCACAACAACATATAAATAGGGGAGAATGGATTTCAGTTAGGCATGCTGAATTTGGTAGTCACTTAGGAGAGAATTGGCTCTCTCGAAAAGCCAAATATCTTTTATTGTTTTCTATACTGTTTTATCTCAATTTACAGAATCTGTTCTCATTCCGTCAGATTATTTCCCTTTGGAATTCAGAATTATCACAAGAGTCCTATCAACTTCTATCATTGTTCTTCAATACAAAGGCTGACAAAACAAGGTTTAATTGATGATGTAAAGAGGATGAACAAGAAAAAAATGAATACAATTTTTAGGATAACGAGCCTAAAGCTCTGATACCATGACGGAAAATAGAAGATGGAAAATATCAATTGTATTGATTCACATTGTTACAAGAGTTTTTATGGCTGAACTCAATCAGCAAAATAAGGAAAGTTACCAAAAAATGAAAGATACATAAAAAATCCAGTGCCTAGAAATCAGGGATTGCAATAACTATCCTAAAAACAAGCAATTATAAAGATTATTATACATAATATTACACAACTGTACAGAATTTTCTTAAGTTAGGAAAATTTTATTTTCCAATTTCCACAGTAACTATGGTCGAAAGTATTATTATTTAATTTACAATTTCCTGCAAAAGTGAAACTGAACAGGAGGATAAGAAAATTCATGCATCTTAGATCGTTCACATTCAGTTGCTATTAGAAAGATGTTTGTGGCTCATTTTGTAGCAAGGTCAAATTTTTGTTTCCATTTCATGTATTTCACTGTTTTCAAAGAGTGGTTTGAAAAGCAATATTTGGTAGGTATTCTTGAAATGGTGAACCCTATATTCCCAGTGACTTTAATAGCAACTAAAACTGTCATGCCCACCAAGATTCATCTTCTACTCCCTCTTTTTCTCAGTGTAAAGATGATATGAAATGTAATTAACTTTTTTCCCAGTCGTGACATGTTTTTGTTGTGTTATCCTTTCTCTGGCTGTTTCTACTTCTAAAGCCTTAATCTTTGATGTTAGAACTTCAAATCAGATACATCCTAAAGGTATTAAATTCTATGGATTTGTGGGTTTTTGGCCATAAAGTGGTGTTTAGATTGAAATTTAAGCAAGATTTTGGTTTCTTTGGCAGCGATAGTGGTAGTGGCTGGCGACAGTGGTGGGAGCTGGGGTTGAGTTGGCAGGTTGGGTGATTCTGGGTGGAATTAGGTTCCAGGATGTTGCTGGATGAAGAAGATGATAATTTTTTTTCCTGTATTTTTTATATTTTTACTTGTATTGAGGGCAAATTTGTGATTTCTCGGCACACTAATGGACTTTATGGATGGAAATTCGTTGGTAAGGACAAGCAACCCTAATTAAAGAAATGATGAGGCTCGGATTGTTACAGACAAAAGGTTGGGGACGGCTACCCTTTAATTTTAACATGGGCCATTTTCAATGCCTGTTATTTGGCCAAGTTTGGTGTGGAAGCGTTTATGAAATTCTTGTAATAAGAATTGAAATTAAGAATTATATTGGAATAATCTTTGCTTTGTATTGATATATGATTGATTGTGTTGAAAAGTATACAACGGCTTTGTATTTATCGAAAAAATTATTCCATAATCCTATTAATACAAGGAACCAAAATAAGGAAACTAAATTCTAGAATCTTGCTTCGTATTGATATATAATTGATTGATTAAAAAGTGTACAATATCCTATATTTTTAGGCAAAATTATCCCAATCCTATTAATAAAAGGAAACTAAATTCTAAATGGAAATAAACTAATCCTAATCTAAACAAAATTTTGAGAATAAAACCTATTACACTAAAAAAGGAAATTAGAAAAGATAATTAAAAAAGACAAACTCTTAGATAAAGTGAAATTCTTAGATAATTAAAACAGATTATACATTGTATTCTTTGTCAAACTCAATTTGCTTATATTTTTGAATTGGAATATGAAAATATTAAAAACAACCTATGATTATTATGAAGACTTGTAAGGCATTTCAATCAAGTTAACAAATGAAAATATGGAATAAAATTCATTAGTTTTTGATGACATTGTTGAATAAGACTTCAATTCTTTTGGCTATTATAGTTGGATTTTACTTGGTAAAAATAGAGTTGCAGTGTGAAGGAGAAGAATTGAACTCTGGACATGGTCAATGGTAAATGGGAGGTTATGAAATGCTTGATGTAAATATAAGCATAAATAATCAAACAAAAAACGCCCATGTTTGTATGTGCATGGAACTTTCCTTTTTTAACATTTATGAAAAGTGGAAAATCAGGGCTTGTATGATTTTCCATTATTTGTTTTTCAGTTCTCTTCTTAGGCCATTGTATAGGATTTTTCCTCCATAGTAAGAGAAAGGAAACATAGCTAATTTAGAGCTCAGCAGAGGGCTTTCTTCCCCTCTTAAGATATATGTGGTTTTATAAGCATCATGGCCTGTACGGCTGTACCTGTACACACAGATATATATTTATTTATATTCTTGGGTGGAAATGAGACACGTGGAGGGTAGTGTTACAGTTGCCTGCTCATAGAATTGGGAACGTGGTTGTGGTTATGCCTTTATTTTAAAATGGTGGCAACCGTACTGTTATCTTATTTGCTATCCATCATTGGTCAGTGTATTGTTGGTGTTATATTAGCTTCATTTAACTGCTTTGGCATCGCATTTGAACGTGATTTGTCTTTGTTAACTGAATTTGACCATTCTGTCAGAACTTAATAAGGTTAAACAGCTGGCAGAGGATTTACAATATTCAAGAGAAATAGGATGAGATTATAGTCATGTTTGTTTTTCAGATATAACTTCAATTTTGATGTTGTGTAGATGGATACAAGCGAAGCAACTATTTTAAAAATTAACTAGTGATATCCTTATTTATCAATTTTAGTATATCAATGCTTAAAAGCTGAAAAGTTTGGGTGTGAATCTATGCCTGGAAGCAAACTTGCAGACAAGGTTCACACTTTCTTTGTCCAAAAAAATTTGTTGCAGGAGCAGCACCATTAACATGTTGTGGAAGGGAATTTGCTAGTGGTGAACAGCAATTTCTCGTAAGCCAGAGGCAAATTGTTGTAGTGGATTCTAATAAATATTATAATCTACAATACTCAGGTATTTATAACTGGCTGCTTGAAATCAAAAGTTCAATTCTTATGTTTACCGTTTTCCCTGTACTGAAAGTTAGCTGTAAATTCTTTGTGATGTTTTCTGGAGGCAGACAACCTGGATGATATTCAACTAATGCCCTTTTGTTTTATGAACAGACAGAGATAAGAGTATCGAGCAATTATCCTCTTCATGCATCACAGAGCTTGAACTGGTCAATCAATTCTGAGGACTGATTTTGTTAGAAGGCGGTCCTAAAGCGAACGATTAGATTTTGAATGGCTCGATGTACAACAGTCAGTTTCACAATACAAGGCAAAGTGAAGCAAACTTTCTGGCAATGGATACAGATTCTAATCAGCGGAATCTTGTAAACTCAAGAGGCTTATCTATCCATGAATTAGAGCAAAGGAGTGGACTTGACCATCAAGCAAAATCTTCAGTTAGATTTGAAGCATGTGTATCTCCCGTTAGTTATGGTCTTTTTGGTGGTCAGCAGCGGATGAGTCATCACCATCCAAGCATGCTGCAATCTTTGCAGCATCAACAGTCTGGGTTCAACGACATGCAGCAACTACAACAAGAAGTCATGTTAAGGAAAATGCAAGAGCTCCAAATGCAGCAACAACTTCGGCAACTAGGTTCAAGGCAACAAAATTTATTAAATCAGAATTTCCCCTATCCTAAGCAGGCATCTGGCCACCACTCCTCCCCTTGGGTGGCTGATAATGGAAATTCCAATGGGTTGCATCATGGTTCTCCCACCATGCAAGAGTCCCTTAATGCTTCTCCACTAAACCTTGGCCAGGCACGGCGTTCAGGGGATTTAGTCCCTCAACTGGCTGATCAATCTCTTTATGGAGTTCCTATTTCTGGTTCAAGGGGTTTAACTGTGAACCAGTATTCTCAGATGGCGATGGATAGACCTTCAATGCTGCAGACATCGGCCTTTAGCAATTCCCTTCCAGGTATTCAACTTGCAGATCAAGTTAGCATGCATGATGGGACAACAATATCTAGACACAGATTTCAGAATGAAAATATACTGGGAAATGTTTCTTGTCAAGCTCTTAATGCTGGGATAAATATGGAGAGCGTCCAGCAAGTGAATCTCATTCAAAGAGATGCACCTCAGCAGGGCTTCAGAGGGAGGCAGAATCAATCTATTTCACAGGAGCTCTCACATGAAAAACCGACAAGGCAATACTCTTCGAGTCAGAATGAAGTTGCCCTGGATCCTACTGAAGAAAAGATATTGTTTGGTTCAGATGATAATATATGGGCTGCCTTTGGCAAAAGTCCTAATATTAGTGGAGAGGTGGGTAGTTTGTTTGACAATGGTGGGTTGCTCAATGGGATTCCTTCTATTCAAAGTGGTAGTTGGAGTGCTCTCATGCAATCAGCTGTTGCAGAAACTTCTAGCAGTGATATAGGCCCACAAGAGGAGTGGAGTGGTCTGGTAAACAGCACTTCAGCAAATCAACACCGTTTGCCGTATAATGTCAGTGGTAAACAAGATGAATCTTTGGCCGATAACAATATGCAGATGCCTTCAGCATTCACTTCTGGTTCTGCTCCCCATTCTGATGACAGCCGTATGAACAATAACTACCAGAATGCCATGGGGTTTGATCAATTTGTACACGAGTTTCAAGGTAAACCTGGTCAAACATTGCAGTCTGAGATGTCTCAAAGACATGTCCAGTCTTTGGAGGAAGCAAACCAGTGGTCAAATTGTGGTCCACTGCAAAGGTCAGTTGCTGAAGGAAGTCAGCTATATAAAAATGTCTCACCACATTCTCTTGATGCAGAGAAAAATTCAAAGTGCACTTCTACACTATGGAATTCCGAGCATAGTGGAAGAAAACAGACAACCAATCGGACAGCCTTGGGTCCTGTAAAACATTCCATGGAAAATGAAGGGGGCTTGGGTTTGAATGATGCTGGTTCCATACCTAACTCAAGTGCCACTGGGGTTGATGAGGAAAACAGTCAATTTGTTCAGAATGGTAATTTACTCAATCAATGGAAGAATACCAATCCTTTGGTTAAATCCCGAAGAGGTGAAAGCTTTGGGAGCATGCTGCACAGCACAAATGAAGGTGATCAAGTTTCAGATTCAACGCATGGTAGTGACAGAGAGGAAGTTGCAACACATGAGATGGACAGTTCTGATTTGAAGGGAAATTCTAATGAGAGTTTCCCTACCTTATTACAGCACATTCCTAGTGGTTTGAGGGACAGTGGGTTGTCTGATGCTAGCGACTCAGAACCTTTGCCCACTGGCAAGCAAAAGTCGACTAATCAGCTTGGTAGGAAAGCTTCTGGTCCTCGCAAGTTTCAGTATCATCCCATGGGAAACTTGGATGAGGATGTGGAATCTGCTCATGGAATGAAGCAGCGTACACATGCACTGGCCATGTCCCAGCAAAATGTGCATCTTGGTGGGTCGAAGTCTTTTAATCAGGTCCCAATGAAATCTATGGTAATGTTCAACACGATTTATGACTTGATACAAGATGTATGTATATACATTTAACTTTAATGTGTTAGAAAGTTTGAATATTTGTTCTTATTTACAGCGACAATCTCCTGATCTTCAAAGAGACAACAAAGGCCTTGAAGGGGGGCCATCCCAGGGAAGTCTTCCTGGTTATACACCTAATATTTCTGTTCCTTTTAACAGATCTGTTGATTCATGCACACCAAACAAGACTTCATCAAGGTAATTCTCTGTTCATGTTTGATTCCTTTAGTATTTACATACTACTACCTATTATTTATTTGTTTGTGTTTATTCCAGTCAAAACATGCTGGAGCTTCTTCACAAGGTGGATCAACCTGTCAATCTTGGTCCCATGATGCACTTCAATTCTTCTGAACAGAATTCATCATCTAAGCTATCTGAAACAGAAAATTGTGATAGTTCTGTTGACCGACTCCACCGCAATAATTCTTCTGCCTCTCAAGGTTTCAGATTGCAGCTTGGTCCTCCATCTCAACTGATGCAGATTTCAGAACATTCACCTACTTCTCAAACTGCTCAACATACAAATGATTCTCCACATTCAAGTCATGCTGCTGCAGAAATTGGAGAGAAGGGCCTGCTAAAAGTCACGACATCTTCAATTCAATCGGCGCCTTTTTCTAATGAACAATCCAAGACTCGGTTCAAAAATGAGAAATCTGGAATTCCATGCCAATCTGAAAGTGGATCCACTCTGTATAAGATACCTGGAAATTTTTCTTCAACGTTAAATTCTGGCTCTGGCCACTCAATAAGTCCTTTTCATCATCAACAGATGACCAGGGCAAGTGGACAAATGTCAGCAAATCAGCATATTAACTCGTCTTTTGATAGAAGTGCTTCCCACTCCACCCAGGAAGGATCTAAGGAAACTTTTTTGCTTGATGCATCTTGCAGTACTTCACATGATAATCATGTGTCTTCGGGGGGCACATCTTGGCAAAACAGCACTAATGATCCACAGGCAAGAGGTTCAACTGATACAATGTCAGCTAGGGATCATGTGCCTCCTTCTCAACCATTGGGCCCGCACGGTGCATCTGCACAGATGTTTATGTGGACCAATGTTCCTACACACCAACAAACTTTGCGTGCTCAGTTTCACAAGGTGTCGGCACATTTTCCAGAGTCACCCCACCCAAATATTGTGGAATCAAGTTCCTCTGTACCCCATACTGTAGATGATCATTATGTGAAGAAAGGTGAGAATCTCCCATCCGAACATAGTGGAATTCCTATGAACTCTGCAGTTGTTAGTGGGGAAGGGCTGAGGTTGAAGGAAAGCGCTGAATGGCTAATAACATCTGTAAACACTGACCTAGTTCAAAAGATGAATGAATCACATGAAAAAGTATCATCTGTCAAGTATCCATTGGATGATTGTCCTGCTAATTCTTCTTCAACACAAAAGGATATTGAAGTATTTGGTCGGTTGTTGAAACCGAATAGCTTCTCTCATGAAAATTACTCCTTACTAAATCAAGTGCAGGCCATGAAGGATGCAGAGACTGATCCAAACATTAGGGTCTCAAAGAGAATGAGAGGACCAGATAGTGGTCCGGGTGTTCAACAAGTAGCTTTGGAAGGAGGGCAGGTAAATGAACATAGCATTATTAATGGAGATTCATTAGGGTCTAATGCTGCTGCAGTTTCGTCTGGGGATTCTAGAATGCAAATATTCTCCAGGTCAGCTGATATCTTGGAAAAGAATGTCACTTCTCAACATGGAAATGTAGCTTCTCAGGACGTGCTTACATTTGGTCGCAATACTTTTCAGAGAATTTCTCTTGGTCCACAGATGGCACCATCCTGGTTCGATCACTATGGAACTTCTGAAAATGGACGAATTTTGCCAATGTACGATGCAAGCACGGTCACCACTTTAAGAACAGTAGAACCACCTTTTACTCTTGGGAAATCTTCCAGTAGTTTGCATACAAGTAATTCCATGGGTGGTACAAGTCTTGTTGGTGGCGCCCAACAAAGTTCTATTCCTTCATCAGTAGCAACTGAACATTTCTCTTCTCCTGAGTCATTGCACATGGTAATATTGGAAACCAAGAAGCGCAAGGATGCTACTTCTGAACGTCATCCTTGGCACAAGGAAGTATCACAGGGTTTGCAAAATCTTAAAACTATCAGGTGGTTATCACGAATAGAAACTTTTCAAATTTTTTATTCTTTTTCTTTACTGGCCCTTGTTTATAATATCTAGTGGAGTTGAATAGTTATTTGATTTAATTACACGTTCGATTAATGCGTTTCAATGTTCTCTTGTTCGATAATCTACATTCATTTTACTACTTCCAGGATGGCAGAAGTCAATTGGTGTAAAGCAGCAAATAGGCTAACTGATAAGGTGTGATGGTGTTGCTAACTCTGCTCCTCTTTTCTTCATGTACTTGATTACTCACATGGTTCACATCCTCTTCTTTTCTGATGGCAGGTGGAAGATATTGACTTGATTGAAGATGGACTGCAAGTGCTTAGATCAAAGAGAAGGCTTATCTTGACGACACAACTTATGCAGCAATTGATCTGCCCCCCACCAGTAGCAATTCTCTCATCTGATGCTAGTTCAGATTATGAGAGCGTGCCTTACTCTGTGTCTAGGATAGCATTGGGAGAGGCTTGCAGTGCAGTTTCTCACTCAAGTGATTCAGATATGCCTTGTGGTGGAGAAGACGTGTAAGAAATAGTCATATATCGCCTGAAATTGTTCAATCAATTTAAAGCTTCATCTTTCGGTCGCTGTAATTTATTTAGATTATTTTTAGTCTGAATAACTAGCTCTCTACCAAATATATTGTAGACTTTCTACTAAGGGCAAACAATCAGAGAGAATTAGCGGTTGTCTTTTTGGAAAAGCTATCACAGAATTTATGGGAAGAGCAATGAAGTTAGAAAACGAGTTCTTGAGGTAAAATATCTTTATTTTTCAAATTTCTTGCAAGATGTATCTGTACTTTATTCACTTTGATGATAACTTGTGCATTTATAATCAAAAAATTAAAGTTAGACGTGATTTTTGCTTGTGATCCATGGAAATTGGAAGGTTTGATCTAGATGGATAGAAACAGAGTTTTCCTGACCGCCTGAGGTGCAAGCCTTCAGGTGCTCCTGATGCAATTAAGAGCTCAAAGTCGACATTTTTAACTTCTTTTTGTCAAGGCATAAGCCTTGAGTTACTGATGTGCATGCTAACAGCTAAGCCCCAGGCTATGAGGTGTGCACTTCTTATAGCATGTTTGGCTAGGCTCAAAAGGTTCTTAAACTCTTTTGGACAGCATCACCTCCCATGCTGTCAAAACAAGATGCCTTTTAAGGACCCTTTTAAGCTCAGCCAAACATGCAGCCAGTCTTCCCTATCTAGGTTTTTTTTTACCATCCTCAACTTTAGTTTGAGTGGTGGTTCGGGCTATTTTAAATACAGTCCAACTGCAAAAACTGGAAAGAAAATAATTGGAGACTAAAGAAGAGAGGAAGTGAAGATCGCATGCTTGCCCTACCCCATTCCATGTTTTTAGGTGCAAAAGATTTTCAGTTTTTGTTGAAATGTTTTATTATGAACTATTAGATTGGTTATGGTTTGTTACGAGTACAAGTTTGTATCTTTATAATTTTTTAATTATTCTATTGGTTCATGGCGAGGGCTTATAAAGTTGCTTCCAGAAGCAAAAATGACTAGATACCCTATTGGTTCTTTTTTTTTTTTTAATTCTTTTGTTCTTACTGCTTTTATTCCTGTACACTTGTATCTGTTTCTATTTTTGGAAGGAGTGGGGGTGTTTTTGTCGTATCTTCTCTCTAGTACTAATTATCATATTTAATTTTGCAGACTAGACAAGAGTGCATCAATATTGGACCTAAGAGTCGAATGCCAAGATCTGGAGAAGTTTTCTGTCATAAATCGTTTTGCTAAATTCCATGGTCGGGGGCAAAGTGATAGTGCTGAGACAGCATCAACCTCAGATGTCTCGTCAAGTATTCATAAACCTTTCCTGCAGAGATATGTCACTGCTCTTCCAATGCCTAGAAGTATTCCTGACAGGGTACAATGTCTATCACTATAATTATTACATTAATTGATTTTCTCAGGTTTCCGGGTCAACTGTCTCCCTGTCTTCGTCTGTTTCCCTTGGTTATTTACTGGCAGTTGCCCGGACACAAATAGGATTATAGTACGAAAATGCCGAAGGATGGACATGAAGCTGTCTCCTCAAACATGATTGAGGCTGTTTGATCTTTTGAATTTAGGCCATTGATGTCATTATTGAGAAATACCAGGTTACAGTTCATGTACACCTGTTTAAAACTGAAAGAAATTTGGGGTGCTCCATCATTTTACTGACCAGGGGATAGTACAAAAGTGTCATGATTATTCAAATATATCAGGTAGAGAAGTTTATTTTATATATAGAAGCAGGTATAAATGTCTTTTGATCAACAAGTTATGGAACACTTTTTTTAATTTTCAAATTAATGGGTTACTTCCGTCTGGAGTCTTTTATAAACTCAGTTTATGATTTAGGATTTCTTTTCAGGAGTAAGAAATTTATGTATCTACTTTTATTTGAAGTGAAATGATAATATGTATGCATACCCAAGCATGTTATTTAATTTCAATTTTCACATCCTTCGTCATTTTTCAGTGCGTGCCATCTGACTTTCTTACAGAAATCAATAATGAACTTGTGAACTCATGTTGTAAATGTATCTTCGGTGTTGTATAGTTTTAGAATCATCTGTGAGGATCATGTCATATTAGGGTGACTGAACCACCGTTTTAGGTTTCAGAATTCTATGAAATCTTGCCCCATTTCCCCTGAAGGTCATTTCAGTTATCTAGTATGGGAAAATTATTGTTGAACTCCCCTACATTTCAGGTAATGTGGTTTTGGTCCCTGATGGGGTTCTAGGTCCCTAACCTAAACCTATTTATATGTGAATTTAAGTGTCCAAGGACACAGATAGTCAATGTGGACATTAAAATTGCACGTGACTTGTAGGTGATTTAAAGTTGGGAGGGTCTAAAGTGCATGAAAGGTGGCATCAACTTTTCGAGTATCTTTCCCATCGTCTTAGATGAATTAGATGTGGATGCCTTAGCTTTCTCAATGCATTAATCATACTCCACAACGAATGGTTTTGTAGCATCTTTTGTTAAATGAAAAATAACTTAAAGAGGCTACTTTTTGCTATGAATATGGTAAGAAGCACTCAAATTGTGCTCATCAACCAAAAATAAAACCTATAATGCACATGAATCGCACGCATTTATACTAAGCTCTTGTTTGAGTCTCATTTTTCCATCAAAATGAGTTCTTGAACAAAGATTTGACTCCATTTCAACTATACATTCTTTAATAAAATAATATTACCGGCAAAATTCAGAACTTTTCCTTATTTTTTAACCACACATTCTCAATCATAATACTATTGCAAAATATATTTTTTTGAAAAAAAATAGGGCTCAAACAAGCCCTAAATCAAAAAAATGAATTGAGGCATAGAAAAAATATACCGAGGTGATTTATCAATATAATGATGCTACTCGAATCCTCATCAAAATCTTTCCTTTCTTCACTAGAATCTAATGAACGGGGCGATTCATCAATATCATGATGCTCTCTACACGAATCCTGCCTTGTGTATGTGTCCTAGTTGAGAACAACATGTGGTCTTTTTGAATACAAGCACTGTCAAGCTCAAGTGCATGAACAATGGCATTCTCTTTGCAAGCATATCTCCCCGTCTTACCTGAATTAGATGCGAACATCTTAGATTTCTCAATGTATTAATCGCTCCCCGCCATGAAAAGCTTTTACTCCTTTTGATTTCTCAAGATTACTCCTTTGCAAGCATATCTCCCTGTACCTAAACATGTTTTGAATTTTGTAGCATCTTTTGTTAAATGAAAATTTGCTTGATTAACATGCACTTTCTGCCATGAACGTGGTAAGAAGCACTCAAATTGAACATAGCAACAAAAATACCTTTAATGCACGTGAATTGTACACATTTATATGAATACTTAATAATAAAAAATAATAATGAAATGAGACATGGAAAAAAGATCATACAAATCTTCGACTCAAGGAACTCAAGTCGACTAAACTTAGCCAAAACCCAACCAATTGAGATAGCTCAACTTTTTCATGAAGTTTGTACTCGCCTTTAGGTTGTACATGCTCTGCTAGGGTCAAATTAGTTAAGGTAATACTAGACATTTAAACTTCGCCTATCGCCTCTCAGCTAGGATAGAGTAGACTAAATTTCGTTTGAAAATTTTTTGAACTAGGCAACTCGATTGATGTTATTCTTTTTTGACATTCTGATAGGATCGAAATGAGAATTATTTGCTATAAATTAAAATGCCTTTTACTTTAGAAAAGAAATTTGGAAAAATATAAAAAATGAACAAGAGATGGAAAAGGGGATAAGATTACTTTTTACCACAGAGGCACAAACAAAGCTCGCACATTGATTAAGAGTATTGTACAATATGACATTCTTTCCATCTCCAAAAAAACAAGTAGTCTAATATGGAAAACCCCTCTATATTTCAAGAAAGCCAACTAAAATTCAGAGAATTTGTGTGTGTGGTGGGGTGGGTGGGGTGTGGGATGGGGTGAGGGGACAGTATCAACCATTGATGTCACGTCGAGTATTGATAAACCTTTGGTACAGAGATGGGGCACAAGATGGTCTCCCTGCCTCGAACCTGCTCTACATGGACAGAAGTTTGGTGTGCCTAAGAGGGGTCTACTCGAAGACATAATTAACTGTGTTCGAAGTCTGCTCTCATAGGTAGTAACATAGGTTAGACACCACTGGTTAGTATTAAGAAAGAATGAAAAATCAAAATCTTTTTATTTGACTACCAGACGTGCATTATACCTAACATGCACTAATGGTACATAATGAAAATATTTCTAAATGCTTAGAAAATGCTTTATTTTTGTGGTTGCTCATAGAGTATTAGAACATGAGATGTCCAGGGACGGATACATGACCGGATTATAGGCCGGGCTAATACGTAAAAATAAAATAAAATTACACATGATTGCTCGTTAGCCAAATCTGTATGATTTGGCTCCTCGAACAATATGATGAATATGGACAGTTCCTGTGCTAAATCTAAATCATATTGTAAACTACTTGAATCCTCATCAAAGTATTTACTTTCTTCACTAGAATCAAATGAACTCGATGATTCATAAATATCATGATGCTCCCATGGACCACACCTTATGAATGTGTTCTACTTGAGAAGTGCGGGTGGTCTTTTCGAATACAAGCACTTTCAAGCTGAAGCGCATGAACAATGACATAATCTCTGTGAGCATATTTCCCCATCTTCTTTGGTGAAGTAGATGTGGACAACTTAGCTTTCTCAATGCATGAATCAAACTCCCTGCAACGAAAACCTTTTAGTCCTTTGATTTCTCTAGATTATACAAGTACCAAAAAGAAATTCGACAAGAACTCAAATCAAATTATCACTCGTACAGATTGAATTAAAGGAAGTGCATTACGACATTTATAGTACTTAAATAGGGGACAATAGTATTACTATTGAGGTGCTTGAAATTTAGATTCCCTCCAACCTTTCCTTGCCACAACACACAAGTATACAAGGTGAATATGTCAGTTTGTACCTAAACATGTTCCTTAATTTCTGTTAAATGTAAAATTATTTAAAATGCTAATTTCTGCACTCAAATTGCACTCATCAACAAAAAATAAAATCTCTAATGCACAAGAATTGCATGCATTTATAAATGCAATATATGAATACTTAATTGTATACATTTTATTTATGTACAAGCACTTATGTCAAAATCTGTACTTTCTTCACTGGGATCAAATGAACTTAGTGATTCATCAACATCATGATGCTCCCATGGACCCCGCCTTGTGTATGTGTCCTACTTGAGAAATACACGTGGTCCTTTCGAATGCAAGTACTTTCAATCTTAAGTGCATGAACAATGGCGTTATATATGCGAGCATATTTCCCCATCTTCTTAGATGAAGTAGATGCAGAACAACTTAGCTTTCTCAATGCATTGATCATATTCTCCGCAACGAAAAGCTTTTACTCTTTTTGATTTTTTGAGATTACACCTGTCCCTAAAAGAAATTTGGTTAGACCTCTAATCAAATTATCACTGATATAGATTCAACTCAAGTTAGTGAATTACGACATTCAAAGTAATTAAATAAGGGACATTATTATTGTTGTTGTTGTTGTTGTTGTTGTTGTTGTTGAGGTGCTTGAAGTCTACAGTCCCTCCAACCTTTCCTTGACTAACACATAGGTACACTAAGGAAATATGTCGGTTTGTACCTAAATGTGTCCAGAATTTTGTAGCATCTCCTGTTTAACTGAAAAATATCTTAATAGGCATTTTTTTGCTATGACCATGGTAACTAGCACTCAAGTTGCACTCCTAGAAAAAAACCACCAATGCACATGAATAACACACATTTATACATGCAATGTATGAATACTCAATCACATTCATGCTATTTATGTGCAAGCATTTGAAGGAGATGTATATCACATGAACCACGCCTAGGTCCTCGAGTCCTCTTATCTTACTCACTACCATCCTTCGAATCATTTGGAGTACTCAATGATCTAGATTGCTTGTTAGCTGGACCTACATGATCCACCTCCTCAAATAATACCATGGATGCAACAGGTCCTATGCAGAATCTAAATCGTCTTTTGAACTACTCGAATCCTTTTCAAAATCTATACTTTCTTCACTAGAATCAAATGAACTAGGTGATTCATCAACATCATGATGCTCCCATGGACCGCACCTTGTGGATTTGTTCTACTTAAGAAGTAAGGGTGATCTTTTCAAATGCAAGCACTTTCAAGCTCAAGTGCATGAACAATGGCGTCATCTCTGCAAGCATATTTCGCCATCTTGTTAGATGAAGTAGATGTAGACAACTTAGCTTTCTCAATGCATGAATTGTACTCCCCCCAGTGAAAAGCTTTTACTCTTTTTGGTTTCTTGAACCAGTCCCTAAAAGGAATTTGACAAGAACTCAA